ATCTTTGCAAAATATTATCTTTGTGAAAGATGAGATTTAAGGTATAATGATTTGCAAAGATAAGAAAATAGCTTGGAATAGCAAGTCATCAACCGGTCAGGGACCAGTGAATGAAGATGAGGTGCAAAGGTTGGATTATTCATGAATAATCAAAAAGTGGGATTATTGAAAGAAGATCGCTAAAAGGTTGGATTATTAGTTTCCATTTTCCCTTATATGTTTGGCTTGACAACTTTGAGGAGCTTTTCAGAAATTAAAAGATCTTTTTTGAGATGCTACAAGGAGTAGCATCTGAGAAAAGCTCGTGACTTTTAGTACTAATTAGTCCTAACAGCTTGTATACCAAACCAAACTAAATCAAACAGTCACCTTTTTACCAAACAGCTACCACCTTTTCTTTTTAAGATCTTTTCAGTCAATAAAAGGCAACAGTTATTAAAAAGCTCATAAGAGTATCTTTTCAACTAGTTGTACCAAACATACATTTATATTAATAAACGAAGTTTTTCATTGACACTATAAATTAAGAATAATACTAAATTGTTTATTTTACATGATTCAGACTGTTTATTAAGCATATAAAATAAACAGACGCAAATACAAATATCACTAAATCAGACATCTTAGCTTAGACATACGTGTTAATCTAGACATGACTTAATAGAAAAAACTCCTCTCAATTTAATATAGAGCCCTTTTGATAACAATAAAACGGTACAAATCGACTGATTCTGCTGAAATTGAATAAGTTCTGGGTAAATGGTATGCATCATTAACTCTAAATTTTAATAGTGAGATGTTATATTTTACTCATAATTTCGTCACATTAAAAATGTCTAAAAGTGTCGTTTTCAAAATTTCAACTCTTTTTCTCAATTAGACAATTCTAAACTCATAAAAAAAATCAAGAGTCTAGGGATTCCAACCGTAGGTATGGGGTTTCTAAATCCTGAAATTAAAAAGTGAAAATATAGCCTACATAACAGTATAACACGTGACATTGAGGTTGGCAATGTTACCAAATAAGGTGGATTTCTATATCAACATGTAATAAAAATAGAATGTAATAATAAAATAAAAGATATAAAAATTAATTAAATAATTGTTATATATGATGATATGACAGAGTTATGTGGCGTGTTGTATGCTCTTAAAAGTTCATCTTATATATATATATTTTGCCGCTCCCTATATATATATATATATATATATATATATATATATATATATATATATATATAGAGTACTCTTCCGGTCAGGAATTCCTGACCGGAACCTCCGTCCGGACGGCGGCGTTTGGCCGCCTTCCGGGTGGAATTTTTCGACAAAATTTTTATGACATGTTCTTCATGAAGTCTAGTTTATCCACAAAAAATTCCAGCCAAAAACTCATTCGGGAAGGTCGTCAAATGATTTTTGCAAGTTAACTGGTCCGGAAAATACATATTCCGGACCAGTTAACTTGCAAAAATCATTTGACGACCTTCCCGATTGAGTTTTTGGCTGAATTTTTTTGTGGATAAACTAGACTTGATGGAGAACGTGCCAAAAAAATTTCATCAAAAAATGTCACCGGGAAGGCGGCCAAACGCCACCGTCCGGACGGCAGTTCCTGTCCGGAATTCCGGACATGAATAAAATTCTATATATATATATATATATATATATAAGAGATCACATACTAACCATGCTTAAAATACTAACTTACTAACTCAATAATATGCAACACATTAAACTTCAATATGCAGTACAAATAATGTAAAGATGCACACTGTGAATTTCAATATGTAATAAAAACAATATGCAAAACTTTGAACTTTAATATGCAGTACAAATAATATGCAACACTTTGAACTTCAATATGCAGTACAAATAATGTAAAGATGCACCGTTTTTGATAGTTTGTAGGTTAGCATGGGAGGAATGGTTAGTATGTGATCTCACCCCTATATATATATATATATATATATATATATATATATATATATATATATATATATATAGGGAGCGGTTCCGGTAAGAACAGATCTTAGGAGAAAAATGAGAACGAATCTGGACCGTTGGATTGTATTATGTGGAACCAAATTGTGCATTTGGTGAAACTGAAATGTGCATTAAATGATATTGAAATGTGCAAAATAAAAATTTAAACTCAAGTGTGCATTAGATGAAACTGATATGTGCGAAAAAAAAGTACAAAAATAACATCACATCGTACTTTTTATTCTGCACATTTCAGCTTCACCTAGTGCACATTTCAATTTCACGTAATGCACAATTCAACTGCACATAATGTCACTCTATCATACCCATTGTGATGCACATTTCAATTTCACCTAATGCACATTACAGTTTCATCTAATGCACGCTGAATTTCATTTGAAGCAAATCTAACGGTCCAGATTCGTTCTCATTTTTCTCATAAGATCGTGTTCTTATTTGAACCAAAACCTATATATATATATATATATATATATATATATATATATATATATATATATATATATATATATATATATATATATATATATATATATATATATGCGGTTCCAGTGAGAACGATGCTTAACGTGAGAACGTGAGAACACTCACATTTAAATCAATATGGTGCACAATGGAGCTATTGTGTTGCACATTTTCAATTTGCTCGAGTTTAGCCTATATTAAATAAACATGATGGCATTTTGGTAAATATAGTGAAAATGTGAAAATGTGCAATATACAAGCTTCATTGTGCAACACGTTGGGGTAAATGTGATGTTCTCACGTTCTCACGTTAAGCAATGTTCTCATTTGATCTTTATTCTATATATATATATATATATATATATATATACACAATTATACGTAGTATAATTTAAATATAAACTTTTCACAATTCAGCATATTCAATCAATTTAGCTGGTTCAGTTAGAATTTCATCAATTTCAACACATTCAGTCTATTAAGTCGATTTCAATATTATCAAACGAGTTCATAGTTTGGTAAATGATAAGTAGTTAATCTAACAAAGGTTAAAACTTAAAAAACAAAACTTTCTTATGAGATCAGAAATCTATTAAAAGAATAAAATTTATCGATCCCGGACTCCAAAGATGGGTTCATTGTCAATAAAGGATTTGTAAGATAAAATATGTCAACACAAAACTCAAACGATCGAAAACTATCAATCTTAATATCATAGATTTTGATTTATTCTAAACGTCTATCTATCGGACTAGATTTTAACATGCCAGACCAAAAAAAATTAGTCTAATAAATGATAACTTAAGTAGGAAAGTACAAGACTTAGAGAATGCATAGATCGAAAGTGATATACTTTCAACAAAATGATTTTCATTAGTTATACTATGCAGGTGGCTGATCGCCTATAATTAGTGGAGATTGACGATCTGCCCCTTAATTACAATAATCAACATGTAAGTATAAATGTCATTGATAAATTAATGTTCTCCAATATTGATGATCATCTGATTTCTGTTGTGCCTGTTCTATAGAGCAGATGGAGCAAGGACCTTTTCACTTGGTTCCTGCGTTGACCGCGTGTCCAATCACTGTTTAATTATCTCCATCTGAACTTATATAATAACATTAAAAATATGCACATTTTACATCTCAAACAACACATGGGTAAAATACTAGTTGAGACATAACTAAATTACTTTTAACTAGTAGAAGTAAGTATTAATAAACGATTGTAGACCATGCATGATTTTAATCATTCCAAGCAATTTTTTTTGCAAAAAAGTAATGGTTGAGCACTTAAAAAAAATAAATGTGATTAATATATTACAAGTAATATGTGTGAAGGTAGAGTAATCCTTATTGTTTGACTTAGAATAATTTTTATTTCTAAACCAAAGAATGAGGGAATAGACTACCTTCACAAATAATATTGTACATAACAATCTCAACAATCCAATTAGATGTTCATACTAACGTTTCTACGGAACTTAAAAAACCTTGCATCATTATAATGTAGCCGGTGTGGTAATGCACTTGGGAGCCGTTTTATTTCCTCCCTCAATACACTTACTCAGTATTATCTTCCTATCTCGTTACCTCTCTCATTTTCTTCCTATTTCATCTTTCTATCTCTAGACTAGATTTTCATTTTAGGCTATGAACGGCTTCTATTTTGGGTTGATCTGGGTGAATTGAAGGTCTTGAAAGAGTCAAAGCGAGATTCGCAGTTGTCAGAAGCTTTGAACCCTTCTTCTAGATTTTCTGGAAAGGTAATTCCTATAATTCTTATAACAGTAATCCCACTTGGAAACCAAGTGGGATGACAGCTTAATCTTGTTTTTATTTGTAATATTCACAGGAAACCAAGTACTCACAGTAAGTATATGTTGCCTCCCTGACGTTCATATTCTGCCCCAACATGTTTATCACTGTTTTCCGTTTCCAAATAAATAAGAAAACTAACTGTGTCCATATTTTAAGACATTGCTTTCAACACTAGCAAAATAATGGTTTTGAAGTAACTCCTTTTCTTAGATATATGTAGTGAAAAAATATATGATAGTATTTGTTTTATAGAAAATCTTAAACCAAATTTTGGTGAAATGAATCTGACGAGCTGTGAAGATATTTGAATACTTTTTAAAGTTGTTTCTTTGGATAATAAAATAAAAATTAGATTCATTTTGCGTCGCAAAAACTAATTAAAAGTTCAATGGAAAAAACATGTTCCGTGAAAACGTGGTCAGGAAATGTGAAACAAGAAACTAAATCTTTTTGTAGAAGAAAAGGTGATTGTGATTTTCCGGAGAATTCCTTCATAGTTGAATGCAAACACACACCTCGAGAGTTTCCATGTTTTACATAAAAAATTAAATAAAAAAATCATTTTCACTTTTTATGCAATGCAGTGTTGGTTTCTTATTTATTACTATGTATATCTACACTGTTGTTTTTGTTTTCATTATTGTTATTGTTATTATTATTATTTTGTATTTGGTGTATGTTGAAGAATTCAATTCTTAATTTCCATGAAGTTTCCTCCATGTGCAAGAATGACAAAGGGAGCTTCCATACACCTAGGAGTGACCTTCCTTCCAACCACCATTGAAGCTTCCTTCCACCTTCATACTACCTTGTTTTGGTGCTATAAATAGAGAGCTTGGAGAGTCTTTCTATCATCAAGTAAGTTAGAATAGATCATCATAGCACAACCAAGAAGAGTTGTGAATATCCTTGAGAGATATGTGAGGTGTTGTTTTTGAGAGTTTTAGTTAGAGCTTGTATGTCTTTTCTTTCTATTCTTGAAAGTAATAGAAGTGTTTTTCTCTCATATTAGCACAATCGTGTTATTCCCAACAAGTGGTATCAGAGCCTGGTTGAGCTTTTGATATTTTTCCCAGATTTTTTAAGATAAAATTCTACTGTCTGAAAAATCGAGTTTTTCAGTATTGCTCAGAATTGCAAGATGAATAGACCGTTGGATTCGTCTCGTCGAGACGAGAAAACTGGTATTTTTAGGGAATTTTTTGGCCACCGGAAGCTGCCGTACGCGCCGCCAAACGCCGGCCAAAAACTGTCTGCGTCATCGCTGACGTCATCACGTGCAGTCCAGAGTAGAAGACGGCTGACGTTATCGCTGACGTCATCAGCCAGTCAGAGCTGCATCAGCGACACGTCAGCAACACATGTGCAGCCCCAGCACAGTCAGCCGCCACGTCATCAGTCAACTGCCATCTTTCACCTGCGTCCAATCAGCTGCCACGTCAGCGCCCAGTCATCGCCACGCCACTGCCACGCCACCGGTCAGTTTTTAAATTTTGAAAAATTGCAGTTTGGTCCCTCAATTTTTGAAAAATTGTAATTTCGGCCTATAATTTTTCGAAAATTGTATTTTTACCCCGAAAGTGCCTACCCACCATTTTCGGCCGTTCCGGACGCAACGGTGCTGCCCATTTTTCGAAATTCTGCTCCAATTTTTCTGAAACAGAAATTCAAAATTATTTACAAGGTGAAAATGACCTTTGACGAGTCAACTTCATCTTCCGCAGCTATGATTATGCTCACGGCTACCAACTACACACTATGGAAACCTCGGATGGAAGATTTCCTTAGCTGTAAAGACCTTTTTTATCCAATAGAGATGAAAGGTATTAATCCTGACCCGGCCAAGTCAACGGAGTGGAAGAAAATTAATAGAAAAACTATTGGTCAAATCCGACAATGGATTGACCATAGTGTCTTCCACCATGTTGCACAAGAGACCGACGCTTATGCCCTTTGGAAGAAGTTAGAAGATATGTATCAGGCCAAGACCGCTAGGAACAAGGCCTTACTGATGAGGCGTCTTGTGAATATGAAGCTCAAAAGTGGAACTTCTGTTGCTGAACATACTAGTCAATTTCAGAGTCTGGTAAATCAACTATCTTGTGTAGAAATGCCACTTGGAGATGAAATGCAATCTCTACTACTTCTTAGTTCCCTTCCTGATAGTTGGGAGACACTAGTGTTTACTCTCAGCAACTCAGCCCCAGATGGCAAACTTACCATGTCTGTGGTCAAGGATGCATTGTTCAATGAGGAGGCAAGAAGGAAAGACATGAGCAAAGATGAGACTCATGCCCTTGTGACAGAGAATAGAGGAAGATCACAAGAAAAACAACAAAGAAACAGTAGAGGGAAATGGCAAAGCAGAGGCAAAAGTCGGGGGAGATCATTAGATGGCTGGAAACCTTCTTATACCTGCCACCATTGCGGTATAGAGGGTCACATGAAGAAGAATTGCTACAAATTGCTAGAGGAGCGAGGCAAGAGCAATTCTCAAGCGAAGAACAAGGGTGGTGAAGCGTTCATCACAATCTCAGGTGATGTGGTGTATTGTACTATCAATGATGAAACATGCCTTCACGTCTCAAGAGAGGACACTGAATGGGTGGTAGATACTGCAGCATCCTACCATATTACTCCCCACAGGTACTACTTCACAACTTACAAAGCTGGAGACTTTGGAGCAGTGAAGATGGGCAATTCCAGTTCCTCTGGAATAACTGGAATTGGTGATGTACAAATAAAGACGAGTAGTGGGAGCACAATCACTTTGAAGGATGTCAGACATGTTCCAGACCTTTGACTCAATCTACTGTCAGTGGTATGTCTTAACGAACAGGGGTATGAAAACCACTTTAACAGGGGCACCTGGAAAATGTCAAAGGGCGTTTTGACAATCGCTCGAGGACATGTTTCTGGCACATGGTACAAAACCCATTTGAGGATTTGTACGGATAGCCTCAATATTGCTGAGGAGACTTCTCAGAATATGTGGCACCTGAGACTCGGCCACATCGGTGAGAAAGGGTTGACTACCTTGATGAAGAAGAACCTTATCAACATCGATAAGAACGCTGCACTGGCTCCTTGCAGTCATTGTTTGTTTGGTAAGCAACATAGAGTATCATTTAGTTCTACTTCAACTAAAAGATCGGAGTTGTTAAGTTTGGTACACTCCGATGTCTGTGGTCCTTTCGAGGTGGAATCAATCGGTGGAAGCAGATATTTTCTGACTTTTATCGATGATGCCTCTCGGAAAGTGTGGGTGTATTTCCTGATTACGAAGGATCAGGTGTTCGAGAGCTTCAAGACATTTCACGTCTTGGTGGAATGTGAAACGGGAAAGAATCTGAAATGTATCCGATCTGATAATGGAGGCGTGTACACATCCAAGGCGTTCGATGCATATTGCAGAGAATATGGCATTCGACATGAGAAATCAGCACCACGCACCCCTCAGCACAACGACGTTGCTGAAAGAATGAACCGGACTATTATGGAGCGTGTCCGGAGCGTGTCCGGAGCATGCTGAATATGGCTAAACTTCCGAAGTCATTCTGGGGAGAAGCAGTCAACACCGCATGCTATCTTATCAACCGATCACCCTCAGTACCACTGAACTTTGAAGTTCCAGAGAGGCTATGGACAGGTAAGGATCCTACATACTCACATCTTAGAGTATTTGGTTGTTCATCGTATGCACATGTATCCAAAGAGCTCAGGCAGAAGCTCGATGCAAGAACTATCCCATGCATTTTCGTTGGCTATGGAAATGAAGAGTTCGGATACAGGTTATGGGATCCTAAAGAGAAAAAGGTGTTCAGAAGTAGGGACGTTGTGTTCCATGAAGATTTGACAATAGAAGACATTGAAAAACCCACAATGTCACGGAAGTCAAATGAGGGTGCTAGAGTTATAAATGAAGCACCAGAAGAGGACAAATAAGTGCATGAAGATAACTCAGAAGCAGAGGATCGGAAGACGAGGAGACAGAAGAGAATGCAGAGCAAGGGGAGACACAATCCACCCCGCCAGACACAGATGATGGTAGCTCTTCTCGGATGGTTCCTACTGTTCGTAGATCTGAACGAGGGCATATACCATCGACAAGGTACACATCATCTGAATATCTTTTGTTAACTGAAGATGGAGAACTGGAGAGTTTTCAAGAAGCTGTATCTCATAAGGATAAAGAAAAATGGCTAATAGCAATGCAGGATGAGTTAGAATCTCTGCAGAAAAATCAAACCTATGAGATTGTAGAACTTCATAAGGGGAAGAAAGCTCTGAGGAACAAATGGGTGTTCAAGTTGAAGAAGGATGCAAGCGGACAAGTGGTGAAACACAAAGCTCGGTTGGTTGTCAAAGGGTTCCAGCAAAAGAAAGGAATTGACTTTGATGAGATCTTTGCACCAGTTGTCAAGATGACCTCAATCCGAGTTATACTTGGCTTGGCAGCAAGTATGAACTTGGAGCTTGAACAGATGGATGTGAAGACAGCATTTCTTCACGGAGATTTAAAAGAAGAAATCTACATGCAGCAGCCGGAAGGTTTTGAGAACTCAAATGATAATTTTGTGTGTAAATTATCTAAGAGTTTGCATGGCTTGAAGCAGGCACCAAGGCAGTGGAATAAGAAGTTTGACTCATGCGTGAAGAGTCAAGGCTACAAGAAAACTACTGCGGATGAGTGTGTATACATCAAGAAACTTCCAGACGGTACTTTCATTGCTCTTCTACTATATGTAGACGACATGTTGATCGTTGGGAAAGATGCAGTGAAGATAAACCAGCTGAAGAAAGAACTCTCTAAGTCTTTTGATATGAAAGACTTAAGATCGGCTCCACAGATTCTTGGGATGCAGATCACTCGAGACAGGAAGAATCGCAAGTTATGGCTAACTCAGGAGAAGTACATTGAACGAGCACTTGAGAGATTCAACATGAATGATGTCAAACCAGTAAGTGTTCCACTTGCGAATCACTTCAAGTTGAGAAAAAGAACATGCCCTACATCCAAGGAAGAGATCGGGGAGATGTCAACAGTTCCATATTCTTCAGCAGTTGGGAGTTTGATGTACGCCATGGTATGCACAAGACCAGACATTGCACAAGCAGTGGGTACAGTGAGTCGTTTTCTCTCTAACCCCGGGAAGGAGCATTGAGAGGCAGTCAAATGGATTCTCAGGTACTTAAAAGGTACCATGAACTTATGTCTTTGTTACGGAGGAGCTTATCCTGTCTTGGAAGGCTACACAGATACTGATATGGCCGGAGATATTGATAGTAGAAAGTCTACTACAGGATATATCTATACTTTTGCAGGAGGAGCTGTTTCTTGGCAATCAAGATTGCAGAAGTGTGTCGCTTTATCTACAACAGAAGCAGAATACATTGCTGCCGCTGAAGCGGGTAAGGAAATGTTGTGGCTAAAGCGCTTTCTCCAAAAACTTGGGATCCAGCAGAAAGAGTACAAGGTACATTGTGACAGTCAGAGTGCTCTAGACTTGAGCAAGAATTCTATGTACCATTCTCGTACAAAGCATATTGACATTCGATATCACTGGATACGGGAGACGATTGATCAACAACTGTTGAGACTAGTGAAGATCAATACAATGGAGAATCCATCAGACATGCTGACGAAGGTGGTGACACGAGATAAGCTAGAGCTGTACAATTGAAGTGGCCTTGAAGTACACCATCACATTGCTTGTTCAATTTTGGCTTTGGAATACTTGTATAAATATTGTATAAATATGAAGGGGTTTAGTTGGTTTTTTAGTTTCTTCGAGAGAGAATCTTTGAGAATAGATTCCAGCTTGTTTGAGTGTAGGGCAAGTGCAGAGCTCTAATATTGTTTGGTTGTGGGACAGTTGCAAGCATAGAGATTTCCATATTGTTTTGTAAGAGTTATTTCATCCGCTAAAGTTATACTTCGTACGTAGTATAATTTTAAAAATTATATTATTTTACTACAATAATGTAATTTTATTGAGATTTACTACATTCACTATATTTACAATACATTTTAATGAATGTATCTATCTACTACTGATAGCCGTTATATTTACTTGTGTTTAACATAAGTATTTATAAGTATTTGTTGAAGAAAGGAAGAGAAATCGGACAAATACCTCCAGAATGAGAGCTAGAGCATAAAACATTGCGATGAACGACTTTTTAGACCAAGAGAATGACGTTCTACCCATAATTTGAGTATAACGTATTCTATAGAACTCGAAATCACTCGATTCGAGTTTCATGTGAATGCTAACTCAATAAGGTACAAATGTTATGAAGATGTCATGGCCAAAATATGAAAGGAACAAGACTCAATCAACCAACAAAGTCAGATGTTGCTGGTGGGATTTCAGGATGCATACCTCTCAGTGTTTTGGCCATAACGTTTGATTGGATGAATAAAATCACGTCATTCAAGTTTTGGTGGATAGAAGACTTCATTATCTACAACTTTGGTGAAGAAATCATGTCCAAATTCGTAGCGGAACATCCCCAAAATCCTGGGACAAAAACCGACACTTTTTGATCAATTTCGGAAGAAGAGAAAGGAGGCGCATTTTTGGGCGCTGCAACCGGCGCCGGTCAGCCTATAACCGGCGCCGGTTGGAAGGCTTTTTCGCACTAAACGAGCCTGTTTGCGACCGGGGCCGGTTCTAGACTGACCGGGGCCGGTTGGGACGATTTCAGCTCAAACAAAAGGTCGTGCAAGAGGATTTTTGATGGGAAAACTTCACCTTCCTCATCTCTTGATCAAATATTGCTCCATACCTGATTGTTGGGCTCGAATAGACTAAAAGATGCCATTCTTTAGCCTATATAAAGCCTTCAATTCATCAAGCAAACACCTTCAAGAGTTTAATAAGAATGACATCGTTCGGTGTGGGAAAATACATTTGTTTATACTTTGGAGTGTGAGAAATCCTTCCCTTAATAGTAAAGTTTTAAACTCTTGTAACTCTTGTATGAAATGGGGTCACCACAACTTTTCATAAGAGCATCTCCAATGCAAAACTTTTAACATTGAAAAAATTATGACACATGTCAATTAATGTGTGGTATGTCTATCCACATAGGATGAATGTCAAAACCCAAATAATGAAATCCTCAAAAACCTCTCCAATGCATCTTGGTTGACGTCCACACTTTTAATTAGAATTCAATTGACCATGCCTATCTTCCGGAGATTCTACAAGAAACCATGCCCTATTCTCAATTTGTTAAATAATTCATTTATAGAATAATTAACTTTAAATATTTCTTTTAATGTGCAGGTCATCCTCTAGCAGTCTAGCGTCAATCGTTTCATCTCAGCAAATACTTCTAGGGAGGTTAAAAGCCGCTACTGAATCGAGCAAGGTTAGGGGAAAAGGGTTGAGTATGATAAATGGCAAGTTGCTTGAAGAGGATTTGCATCAGGATGTAGAATATAGTTGAGGCGCTGGTTTTTAGGAGATGAGCACCATTTTTCCCCAAAATTTCCGAAAATGCGGCACTTCATACCCACGATCAGTTTATTTGATGACTCAGCATGTTTAACAGACCGTTTAGAATGAGAAAGTGGGATTCACAGCGTTAACATTTATTTTTGACACTTCAGCACCACATGACCGAAGAAAGAAAGCATTGGAGTAGAAAAATAAGAGCCACTTTCTTACCGTGTGACATGGCCATCTTTTTTTAATGTTAACACCAATGCATTGAAGATGCTCTAACAACCGTGCTACTCCGTATTATACGGAGTAATCAACTTTTCGGTTTCTTTTCCTTCTTTTCATAAGAAGCTTTGTCATCTGCCTGGAAATCAGCTGCTACACTAAATCACCGGCTAGGAAAACATCATCTACACGAAATCATTAGGTGCGCCTGCTTTCATTCTCGGAGCTTCTCTTTTTTGGTCTTCAATGGTGAAGGATTTGGAAGAGTCAAAACAAGATCAGTAATTGCGAAAAGCTTTACTACAGGAGTAAGGCTACGTATATTCAGGATGTTTTCTTTTGGACAGAAAATTGTCGGTCCGGTCTGGTCTGAACTAATCTAGTTTGGTCTGGTGTGGTAAACGTCTAGTCTCTGTGTATTTTATAACTACTGAAGTCTGGTCTGGTCTGGTCTGGTCTGGGACTGAAAACAGTCGAAAAGAAAACATCATCAATCCCCCTACCCCACCATATGTGGGAGACTTTTCGGCATTGGGGTAATGATGATGATGATGAATATCATGTATCGATTCATGTTAGCTGACTCCAAAATATTTTGGGGTTAAGGCTTGAATGTTTTTGAAGAAGAAAAAGTTTTCAGTGAGTCACGGAAAAGATTAAATAAAAATATCATCCCCACTTTTTATGCCATTTAGAATTGGTTCCTTGTATTATTTCTGCAATGTCGTTCTGTAATTATTGCTATAATTTATTATTCGTAATTAGTAATACGTTGTATAATTTATTCATTACTATTGTTATTATACTACCATTATGATTATAATAATAATAATTTCGGTTTGGTGTGTGTTGCCCATACCTGGAACCACATTTATGAATAACTTTCTCGTAGAAGTCCAGTTGCAAAGCAATTGTATCTTCCATAGAATTAAAATAAGTAAAGGGTCAGTTTTTTTGCCCTCGAAGTTGCATAAAAGGGGTTAAATATGTCTTTATATAGGAGGTTCTATCCGGCCGTCGCCATTTGGGGCGGTTCCTGGTGGAATTTTTTGATGAAATGTTTTGAGCATCTTATTCATTACGTCTAGTTCACTCATACCAAATGTCAGATAAAAATTCAATCGGGAAGACATTAAAATGAATTTTTGAAGATAACTGTGCAATTAAGAGCGCAGTTATCTTCAAGAATTCATTTGAATGCCTTCCCGATTGAATTTTTAGCTGAAATTTGGTATGAGTAAACTAGACTTAATGAATATGATGCTTAAAAAATTGTATCAAAAAATTCCACCGGGAATCGCCTCAAATGGCACGTCCGGACAGAATCTTCCAAATATGGACTTAATTTACCCTTTTTATACAACTTCGAGGACTAAAACTGACCCTTACTCGAATTAAAATGTACCCATGTAGTTCCATCCCATAGGACTTCAAAGCTTCAATACCTTGAGCTGATTTTTCCTGGGTGTTCAAATCTGCTTTTTAAAATTGCTTCAATACCATGCTCCTTCATGGAACATAAGTAGATATCAGAGTTTTTGGGTGAAAATGCAGAAGTACTTGTAGGTGCTCCAAAATAGTCCCTGAAGTAGTTTTTTAGAAGCTGGGGTAGATCAGCTTTTGAAAAACGGATTCTAATTCTGTTTTTACTTTTTAAAATAGGGGAAAAATTGGGTCGGGAACAAATTTAGAGCCCGTTTGGTAGTAGGAAAATCGGATGATTTGGCTGATTCTGCTGATATTTATGAAGTTCTGGCTGAAGTGGCTGCATTGGCTGATTCTGCTGATTTAAGAAAAAAAAATATACTTTATAAATAAAATAAAGAAAAAATTATATGTAAAAATAGCTAAAAATGGTCATCTACTGTAACTCCAGTCAATACAGCCAGAAAAGTAACTTCAACCTTACTTTTTCTGCTTATGACACATTTCAGCACGCGAAAGCAAAAAGTTACATGTTTGGTGAAAAAGTTAGTTAATAAGCCTGATAAGCTGAAAAACAGTGTTGCCAAACGGCCTCTTAGTCCGAGTCGCCTAGCCACCGCCTAGGCTACCAACCAACTTTTTCCACTGATAACTAGGCCTGGCCTCGGGCCGGTTCGGGCCCGGTTCGGGCCTGGGCCCGGCCGGGCCTCGGTTCGGTAATGTAAGGCCCGGGCCCGGCCCGCCTGTGAGCGGGTGCCGGTTCGGGCCGGGTGACCCGGCCGGGCCCCGGGTCGGGTGAACCGGCGGGTCGGGTCGGGCCTAGAATTTTTTTTTTTTTTTCTTATATTCTTATACATCTACTTGGAATCTTGAATATTAAAATTATTTAAAAACAATCTTGAAGTACATTTATGTGAAATAAGTAATAAGTACATTTTGAGAATTGAGAACAATTAATTCTAATACATTTTCTATTAAGTAATAATAATATAATATAATTAAAAAATGCGACATATAAAAAAAATTAACTTTTATTGATTTGAATTTTGAAATATGAACTACAAATCTACAAGTTCACAAATTACAATAGAGAATTGAGGATAAAATAAGAAATTGTAAAATACTAATCAATCGGAATCCCCGGCATAGGTAGAACCACTATCGGTTGATTCATCCATAAAGTCTTGGGAGGGGATGAGGCTAAGTTCTTGAGTTCTACGTCTTGCCTTCAACCAATCGTGGTAGCATATAAGTGTCTCAAGAGATTCGGCACTCAAACACGTTCTCGATTTAGTTAGGACGTTGCCGGCCGAACTAAATTCTTGTTCCACGGCAACTGTTGAAACCGGCATTGATAGTACTTGCTTAGCCATCCGTGCCAAAATCGAGAACGTTCTTTCTTTTGACTTCCACCACTTTAGGACGTCAAAATCTTCATTTTCTACAAACTCAACCTCATAGTTAATATACAAAGCAATCTCATTAATTGTGCTTTGTTCAGTAGTGTGCGTTGTTTTAGCTTTTTTCATAAGATTGCCAAATGCAGATTTAAAAAAACCTTTTCCTTTAGATGAAGATGTTTGGGTTGGGGGAGGGGGCATGTTGTCATATTGTGCACGAAACTCATTAAATAAAGAATAAAATAAACTACTAACCTCGTTGTATTCAGATTGCGGATCTATAGGGTTATCTTCATACATTGGAAAATCACCATAAAAAGATTGATAATAGAACTTGTAACATTGTTCCAAATTACCAAGTCGATAACGAGGATCGAGAATAAAAGCAATACCATAAATATGTGGAATATGTGAATAATATTTTAAAAACTTTTCCTTCATAAAAGTACAAAAATAGCTCACATAATCGGCATTTTGAAATTCATTAAAAGCACCGGCGAGATTAACAAGTTCACGCATAAATTCGTTTGAAGTAGGTTTATAAACATGACTAAAACTTTCAGTTGCATTATTAAAAAATATCAAAACATTACAAATTTTTTCGCAAGTGTCGATGTGAGCAGAGTTTAAAATGTAGTTATCATATTCTTTTAAAAAAGCAGGAAAATGTTCTTTATATCTAATAAGAACTCTAATTAATTTATAAGAACTATTCACCGAATAGACAAATCTTTAGGAAAAGCAACATATTTCACATTTCTTTCATTCAAATAATTTTTCCATTTTAATTTAAGTTGACCATTAGCCCAAATACGTCTAATCCCCCCCTTCGCTACCTCCATAGCATCTCCCAACGCTTTTAGACCATCCTGCACACATAAATTTATTATATGGCATGCACATCGTTGATGAAAAAATCTACCCATCAAAGTAGTAGGACCACACAATTCACGCAATCTAGGTATAGCAGCAGTATTATTAGTAGCATTATCAAAACCTATAGCAAACACCTTATGAACCAAATTATACTCAATTAAAATACGCTCAATCAAAATATAAATATGTTCGGCGGTGTGACGATCATTAAATTCACGAAAAGCAAGAACACGTTTATGCATATTCCAATCATCATCGACATAATGTGCAGTCAAACCCAAATAATGTAAATTATGATAGGTGTCCTCCCATATGTCAGAACAAACAATAACACGTCCATCATAGTTTGCAAAAAAAAATTGTAAGTTCAACTTTTCCGCCTTATAAAGCCTTATAATTTCTTTTTTAACCGTTTTTTGACTATAACTTCGAAATTGAGGATTTAAACAAGTTTGTGCATACTCTTTAAAAGAAACACTTTCAGAAAACAAATAAGGTAAATTTTCTTCAACTATAAAGTTAGCCATACCTGTCAAATTTTGTTGATCATTGTATGAGAAATTACCATAAGGTTGGTTATTTGCAAACCTCGATATTTGTGTTTGCTTCCCCTTGCCTTTCTCAATTTTTGCGTACTCCACCTTGTGCTTGCCCATAAGATGCCTTTTGAGGCTCCCGTATCCGCCCGAAGTTCCCAAACTGTACACCTTATCGCAATGGTTGCAACTTGCGTACCATTTCTCGGTGCTTGGGTCTTTATACTTTTTAAAATTATTTTCTATAATAGGAGATTTAGATTTCGTACCTATTTGGGATGAACCACCCTCGTCACCCTCGTGGTCCGCCGCTTGCTCCTCATCCGGGGTGCCGTGACTCCCGGCGCCCCCCGCGTCCTCCTCCGGATCGTCATCCTCGAGCTCTTCTTCGTCAATGGTGTGAATATCGTCCGGGAGGACCGGGATGTCTCGTTGATGGAAAAATTGAGGATTTTGAGCCAATAGTTGTTGTAGTTGCTCGTCGGACATTCTTTCGCCATCTCGCCGTTGGTATTCCGGTTCGTCCTCCCATCCACTTTGAGAAGAAGATCCGGACTGCCCGCTTTTTTTGCGCAAACTAGGATGAGTTCTCGCAATCTCCTTCTTTCGGTTGCGTTGGAGATTTCCGATATCCAAAGAATGTCTACCGCGCTCCATCTTAACAAATATAAAAGTATATCAAATATTTTAATATGTATAAATTTACTAGGTGTACACTTTAATGAATAATGCAATAAATTAACTAGTTTTATACTTTAATTAAAATGTCTAAATTTACTAGGTGTACACTTAAATGACAAATGCAACAAACTAACTAGTTTTATACTTTAATTAAAATGTCCAATTTTACTACTTGTACACTTTAATGAATAATGCAACAACTTAACTAGTTTTATACTTTAATTAAAATGTCTAAATTTACTAGGTGTACACTTAAATGACAAATGCAACAAACTAACTAGTTTTATACTTTAATTAAAATGTCCAAATTTACTAGGTGTACACTTTAATGAATAATGCAAAAACTTAACTAGTTTTATACTTTAATTAAAATGTCTAAATTTACTAGGTGTACACTTTAATGAGAAATGCAACAAATTAACTAGTTTTATACTTTAATTAAAATGTCTAAATTTACTAGGTGTACACTTTAATGAATAATGCAACAACTTAACTAGTTTTATACTTTAATTAAAATGTCTAGATTTACTACTTGTACACTTTAATGAATAATGCAACAACTTAACTAGTTTTATACTTTAATTAAAATGTCTAGATTTACTACTTGTACACTTTAATGAATAATGCAACAACTTAACTAGTTTTATACTTAAATTAAAATGTCCAAATTTACTACTTGAATATAACGCCATTAATGGATAAAAGAAGAGAAGAATACCTTGGTCACCAAGGCTTGGTGGATTGGCCGATTGGTTGATGATGAATAGGGAGAAGATAATATATGTATGTAAAGTAGATAATTAGATATCAAATTATCTACTTTAAGAAGATAGTAAGTATATATTAACTATTAAGTAGACAATAAATATTAGTAAAGTACTATATGTATATGTAAGTAGATAATAAATATATAAGTAGATATAATATATTAATAATAAGTAGAAATTAAGTAGATAAGGAATATAAGTTATATATATAATATATATATATATATATATATATATATATATATATATATATATATATGTAAACTAGCTAATTATAAGATAATAAATATATATTAAGTAGATAATAAATATTAGTAATGTAATATATGTATATATAAGTAGATAATTAATATATAAGTAGATATAATAATATTTATATAAATAATATATATGTAGAGATAAATTGGAGAAGAATAGAAGATGAAGATGAAGATGAATGAAGATTTTAGAGATTGAGAGAATAGAGAATTAGAGAGTAGAGAAGGTGTAAAAAATGTATAGAAAATAGGAGTATAAATAGGTTTTTTTTTTCTCCCCCCACCCCCAACCCCCCCCCACCCCCACCCCCCTCCAACGGCTATAGAGCCGTTTGGAGGCTCCCTAACAGCCCCAACGGCTACAAAGACCAAGACCAAGCCCCAAAAAAATTTGAAAAAAGAATTTTTTTTTTTAAAAAAATTAGCCGTTAGGCCCGGACCGGGCCCGGCCGGGCCGGTTCAAGAAAATAAAGGCCCGGGCCCGGACCGCCCTACACCCGGGCCGGGTAGGCCCGAACCGCCTGTGGCCCGGTGGACCGGGTCGGGCCGGTTGCTACAGTGAGCGGGCCGGGTCGGGCCCGGTTCGGTCCGCCCGGCCCGAGTCCAGGACTACTGATAACCATGAAATCAGGGCATCCGGCTACCACCTAACAATTAGGCAGCGCCTAGGCCGATATTTAGAACCATGTGAAAATTGATTGTGATTTTATTTCTCTTATAAGAAAAGGCAGAAACAACTCCCAAACACTCCTAGAATCCTTATATACTTTTGTGTTAGCTAATACAAAGATTTCATACATTTCTCCATTTGTGCAAATTCCGCCATGGATATTCACTTTTTTTAGGTTCTATTGAAACGATTGATTAAAGCAAGGGTTAAACATGTAAATAAATTACCGGTTTTGGTTTCTTTAGTGAAAGTAGGGATGGACCCGGGCCGGGCCGGTTCCGGTTCCGGGCCGGGCCCGGGCGGGCTTTTTTTCAGGTTACATGGGCCCGGAACCGGCCCGGGTTGATACCGGGTCCGGGCCTAACCGGGCCGGGCCGGGCCGGGCCCGGTTCAATGTTTTTTTTTTTTTTTTTTTTTTTTGACTTTCTTGTTATCTCCCTACCCCCCCCCCTCACCCCCACGCCCCAAACCTCCCTAAAACACCCAGCCCTACCCTAGGAAAAGAAAAAAAATTGAAAAAACCAAAAAAAAAAAAAAAAAATGAACCGGGCCCGGCCCGAACCGCCCGGGCCGGTTCAACAAAAACAGGGCCCGGAACCGGCCCGCCCGACCCGCCAAAACGGGCTAAAAGCCCGGAACCGGCCAACCGGGCCCGGTCCGGTCCGGGCCCGCACAGTAGCGGGCCGGTCCGGTTCCGGGCCGGTTCGGCCCGGCCCAGTCCATCCCTAAGTGAAAGTGTTGTCATCACCATTTTCAGATTGATTTAAATTACTATTTTCAATTTTGAGTGGAGTTTTTGAGATCATTTTTTCTTACAAATGCTAATGTTGTTAAATGTTACTCCACCGTTATGTTCAGCCACAAGTGTCATAAACTCATAACTCTTTCTTGTGAGTATATTTCCTTGACGTGGAGTGTTTTCTCTTGTGACTATTTTATTCTTCGACATCCTACAAGACGCTTTCAGTGCAAACTTTGGTAGGACCATTTACAAAAAGGTCATCAGTCCTCATCAAAGATATACAAGTATGGAGTGGAGAAGCTTTCGACTTTTCCTTCCTCTATGCCATCTTTAGTTATTTCATGGCAATCCCAGCCGAGATGCTGGATATAAACTTCGTCAAATGCATCGATTGTCAACTCTGAGGCTAAAAACAGTTCTATCTCATTGACTAAGCGATCTGCTCGACCTGATAGGAAAGGCCTTGCTGCTTGAGACACCAAGACTCTAAATTCTTGTCGAGTTTCTTCTGCAGTCCTTTGCATATGGATTTCCGTGTTTCTGCATTGTTACAGCATTGATCAAAGTCATCATTTCATCATCATCATTTTCATTTACTCCAGTACCGCAAAGGCTCCCACCTACGGTGGGGTAAGGGAGAGTCGGATGTACGCAGTCTTACCCCCGTATTAAAGCACAGAGAGACTGTTTCCGGATGACCCATAGTGAAAATCGCGTCCAAAATACATGGACTAACGGTTGCTTCATAACAAAGAAGCGCAGACAATTTAGTGAGGCATTTTGCTTTATTCCATCATATTCTCAAGCCAAAAAACAATGAATCTTTGGCTCCATTGCAAATGATGGAAAAGAGCTAAAATGGGAATCATTAAATTTTGCTTGGAATGCCTCATATTCTTCACCTTTTCTAATTCAACTAATGGAATGATGAAAAATCTATCCAGTACAAAACTAACTTTGCAAATCAGGCTACTTATGCTGCACATTTTCAGGTGAAGTAAAAAAGGAAAAATAGACTTAAAATCTCTAAGCAATCTGAGTTCTAGTGGAGATAATTATCAAAATGCTTTAAATTTAGTTCATCACTACTAGGCAAAACAAATTAATACCTCTTGAAGGATTCAATAACACCATTTAGGTGATGCACCACTATATCAACATCTTTTTCCTGAATATGAAGTAAATTCAACATCACAAGACATCTGATTCAATGATTAAATATCAAGCCCAATGGGAGTAGCTCCTGACAAGTTTAGTTTGTGGTGACATATTCACCACTAGATATGCAATGAAAATTAGATATGGAGCGTTCAACAAACTTCATGATATCAACACTTAAACTTTAGCATTTTATGGTCTATCTTTTGGCATGAAACCCACTGTTATGGTCACTGATCAGCTGAGGGCGGACAGGGAAAAAAGGGTGTGTACAAAGTGCTGGTCTAGGAAACAGAATATCAAGACAACATTCCCCAGGATACAAGACGAGATACATTTTTTTAAAATGCAAACAAGAGCGTTTAGCCTTTTTGGTATTAGCTCAGCCAACAGATGCATGGGGCAGTTAGGCAAATCAACATGCATGTTAATCGTGATAGAATAGTTCATTAGTTGATTTGTGCCTTTATCATCACTGAGAATACTAAAATTGACCCCTAAGAAAATGCACAATGCAGTGATGCAAATGAACTTATGTCATTCCCATAAGGAGAAGTTAGGAGATGCATCAAGATTGGAAGATAGGAGCTTGCTGCTCCCTCCGTCCCTTAATAACCTCTGGGTTTATCTGCATGGTTTTCAATAAAGTAGTGATGGTGTGGTTAAAATCTGTTTAGAGTAGAGAAACGGCCAGAGAACCATTTCTCTAAAAGAAAAGAGGAGATAATATAGGGAAGGAAAAAAAAAGGAATGAAGATAATTATGGGGAAAAGGGGATATAAAATTAGAAGCAAGTTGGATGATATTGCTGAAGAAACTATGAAATGATGAGGCAAATGCTAAATGAGAAGACAGCACATGGTTGAAAGCCCATATAATAATGCATGAGATGGTAGTTTCATCTAGGAGTAGGAAGTACTAAAGTTGCAGAAGTCTTATTTGTTACAGTCAACACATAATCAGTACCAAAAAGAGTGAGATGGATGACAGGCAGCTAACAGCTATGAAATATTTATCTATGTTTCCCATCTTTTCATCTTACAGGTCCCAACGAATTCTCTAAATTTGATAAATGTGACCTTACATATGTGATAGAATGATACAGGTAGCTTCATGAAAACAACCCGATATACATTATACACTTCCAATAGAGTGCAAGTGTGCATCATCAAATAATTCACATATTCAAACAGTACATAAGCAAATTGACCTGTGTTAATGCTTGGATTTCCCTTGTCAGCCAATTGTAAAGCTGATGAGCAGGCTGACGATACTTGTGCAACTTCCAGTATCGCATTACCTTTAATTTTTCAGCTAAAGTTTCTGTGTAGCTCATAATTTACAGTACATAGATACAAACGTGGGTTAGAACTTAGAAAAGATTAAATGAGAAATTGATATATTCCAAACAGCTACATACCTGTTTCAGTGTAATAGCACCGTAATCTGTACTTGTGAGATCTTGAGAAAAAAGCACTGACTCTCATGCCAAAGGGAAAGTAAATACATTGACAATTTGGAACAAAAAAGCCCTAATACCAAAACTCATATAATGGGAGACTGAGAAGACGCTACTACCTATTCCCGAGATTCTGATCAAGATAATACCTCTGATATGAAATTCCATCATATCCATGTATGACTGAAAAGTTAAGTGTCTGCATCCAAGCAAAATAAGAATGTTAATCTGAGTGGAATTTTTAAAGCAGCACCAGGAAATATTGTGCATTTACGATTATTAACGGACACATAAATCAGCACAGAATAATTGCCACTCAAGTCAAGTTAAAAAGTGAGAAAAAATATATTATGAGATATAATAGAACTTCCGTACATAAAGAGGAATCAAGAGGATTCCATTCACAAGCTGTTAGGCAGGTTTTATCATGCTACAATCCATGCTGGAAAAGAAAACCATTGAAGCTTATCACATGCAGAAAGTGAAAATAATGGTACTATGCTAATAAAAAATTCTTCAAGTCTAAAGCATACACTCGGTTGTAAAGACATCTTGGGAGAGATATAGAATATTTGAAATGGTACCACAAATTTTAGCTGCAAAGAGCATCATTTCATTTTGCACAAGGATTGAAAGGAAATTGTATTTTATGCTTATAGATTAGGCCCAAAAGCAAATAGCGAGCTCAGGTTTCATTACATGTATGATGAATTTTGACCCAATCAAGCGCTTTTGAACCTGTAGAGAAGCATACCAAAACCGGGTCTAGTTTTAGTATTTTCAAGGTAAGTGAAGTTCCGACACCAATTAAATGCTGGCTCACAGTACATATAAATTAACAATTTAACATTATTTATACTGTGCCAGACTGCTAGTATGCCTCCCAAAAATACTTGCTTTAACCCAGGTGACATTAGATTGATTCCGAGACAACACAAAAAACATGGCAATATTAGTTGCTTAATCAGCATTCTCAGAATAGTACTGCACCTCGCCGATCCTTAAAGCTTCATTTCCATGAAAAAAGGGTTTAACTTAAAAAGGTATAACTATGTGGAAGGTGCCATAAGGTTATCAAGTTAATGAATGCAATACAACTAAATGGTGTGTAGACCTCTCATCTCCCAACAGTATTGCTCTGCTTCCCTTCTTATAGAGCCAAAGGCCTATTCTCTACAGAAAGCTATGTCCATCTAGAAAAACCCATACCCATAATTTATGTATAAAAAAAGATAAGCAGAATAAGACCTTGCAAACAGGGCACTTTACTGAAGCAGGTTGTGTAGCTTGCTTGGTAGCTACTACTTTGGTCCAACGTTGAATGCAGTTGTAGCAAAACTTGTCTGTAAGCATCAAAATGCTCAGTGACTATAAATCTATTATCATTTCATTGCTCTAGTTATCATTCCCTAAGCTTGCAGCCATTTAGTATCCCACTTGCAACATACTTATACTTATAGATAAACAAATGCAGGTAACCATAAGTATTGCTTAACTAAAAATTATGCACAAAAACAACACTTAGACCCTCGATCTCTATTTAATATTCCCCTGTTGGGAGGGTTGTAAATATCAGAGCTCAATACCTAATTACATCTCCTGAATGGCAGCGACAGTATAAATAGAGCGAAATTGATGCAAATGTGAAATGTACTGGCATACCGAGTATTTAGCATGATGGCGGATTTGTGTATAACATAATTATTACGTATAGACATATGCGTATTAATGTGAAGCAAAGAGTGGATAATCTGAAGGAAAGGAGATGATACTTACGGAAGCATTGGTCCAAGTATGACTCCTCAGTCACGGGTCCGAGACAAATAGGGCAAGGATTCGGATCGGGTGTCAGCTCGGTTATGCTTCTTTCCTCTTCAGCCATGATATTTGCTTCAATGTGAGAGCAAATGGATCATACGCAATTAAATTTGATACCCATTTTTAAACATAGCAAATACGTAGTATTAGATTCGATCATACTCTTTTATCCGATGAAATTCACGTTTTATAGGAGAAAGGTCATATAAGCTCATCTACCCTAAAAAGGGATTACATACGTGCACTAATTTCATAAAATTATCTTACGAGTTAGACTTATTTTTAGCCAAAAGAGACGGTTCTATAGAAGAAGTTCCTGATGACTGATAGTATGAAATATTGAAGATTTTGTGTTTTTCTTCTTGACGTGGAGAGGTCACCGGCTTCATTTACTTCCGGTATGTTTGGAACAAGGGGCTTGCGTTAACCCACGTTAACACTTTTGACTTTGTGAAACCTTGCTCATTATTTATTTATTAATTATTTTTTTTACTCAGGACTGGAACTTACTTCATTGAGTTTCGAATCCTTATGTGCCTAGCGGGTTTCGAACTCGAGTCCCAAATCTAAAATGAAACCTTTTTCACCTAATGTACAAACTAGGAGTGTTTGCAATTGTTTATGCTTGAAAAAAGCATTTTTGGAAGTCATTTTGGAAAAAGTGATTAGAAATAAAAGTTTATAATGTTTGCGAAAAGAGTGATTTTGAAAAGTAAAAGTTGGTAATATTTGGTAAAATAAATGTTTTTTGTGTAATAGAAAAAGTAAAAAACATTTTTTGCACAAAAGCCTAGAAATATTTTTTTAAGTAGAAGATGTCACTTGAAAACACTAATTTTAACTTTTTAAGTCAAAAGCCGAGAAGCGCTTTTTTTAAACAATGGCAAACACTCCCAAAGGATGCTAGATGCAGCCGCACATTCTTTTGGCCTATTTTTTCTTAATTCAAATCTTTTTCAGGTTCTTTTTGTTAAATAAATTTTAAATATTTTTGTTTCGTTTACATTTAATTACGGGATTTTAATGCAATTTTTTTTTCACAAAATAATTTTATTTATTTATTAGTAGAATATATACTCCGTATGATTTATAAAAAAAATCATAATTGAGTCGATTTCACCAATTCAACCGTTGTGGTCAGAATTTTACCACTTTTTTCAAGGTCAATCTATTCACCCTTTTCAGGGTTACCAAAACGACTTTGCATAATAGTTGTAAAAGGTCAAAAAATAAAATGAACATCTAAATATATCACAAATCTCGTTTGGTAAAACAACGGTCTTCTTACCACAATGACATTCCATAGATCCTTGTCTCAGAGCCTTTATTTGCTAGTTAGAGGAATACACACTCACCTTCCTTCAATATGTGGAGAAGTCGGACAAAGGATTACGCAGCCTCCGTTCTTCTCTTAGGTTTTGTGCTTTTTTTTTCACAGAATGGTTTTGTGCTTTTATTGTTCAAATGGGGAGGGGTTTGGGAGAGCACAATGAAGTATTTGGGGGTGAGCCGTAAAAAGGGTCCATATCCAGGTCAGCAGCAAAAGTTAGGAAAAGATTACAACAATCGGAGATGACAACAACAGAACGGTCGTTGTTAATAACAATCCTTGATGATTTGGAGATACTTCTGGATTGACTATTCGAGAAAGGGTAAGTTATAGATATAACAAGATCGACTAAATATATAAACCGTGGAAAGTAGCAAAGCCAAGTCAGGTTCTTTTTATCTTTGAATTAAATCACATATAAGTCGTTTAGCTACTTAGTCTGCTGCTTATCACTGAGCATGTGTGTGAATATTACAAACAAAAACAAGATTAAATTGTCATTTAGAATATGCCAAATGGGATTGCTGTTATAAAAGGATTGGGATCCTCTGCCGCACGGCAGAGTGCCTTGCGGCAGGGAGGCCGTTGAATGGGAAAAGTGACGCCTCGAGATGCAGACTTCGAAATCTCCGACCATTGAAATATTGATCGGACGACTCCCGAAGGCCGGGGAGAGTGTCTTACTCGGAAGTAAGACAGAGAAACGGGATCTATTATAAAAGGATTGGATTTGATGTGATAGAATTCGAGAGAATCAATGTGAAACTATAGGTGTTAGTTTATTACATTTCCAGAAAATCTAGAAGTACCGGTTCAAAGCTTTTGGCAACTAGGAATCTTGTTTTGGCTCTTCCAAATCCTTCAATTCACCCAAATTATCAAACCAAAATCCGAGCCGATCAGGGCCTATACTAGTGAAAAATCTAGAGATAGAGAAGCCCATAATCCCAGCTGCTCACCATTGAAGACGAAAGAGAAGCTTCAGGGATGGGGGAACTAATTACAGAACCCACGATTTCAGCTATGTAAAACGGCTCCTAAATATATTATGAAGTGCCACACCGGCAGCGTTATTGGTTCCCAAATACGGCAGTATATTTGGTCATGTGTGCCGATTTCAAATAACAAATGTTGTTTTATACGTAGTATTAATATATTTTTAAAGAGATGCAGTGTCTTTTAGAGCTCGTTTGGTAGCACGAAAATCGTCTGATTTGATTGTTTCTACTGAAATTTATGAATTTCTAGTTAAAGTGGCTGCATTGGCTGATTTTGCTGATTTAAGAAAAAATTATTTTTAAATTTTATTTTATTAATAAAATAAAGAAAAAATTATATGTAAAATAGCTAAAATGGTCATCTACAGTAACTTCAGCCATTACAGCCAGAAAAGTAACGCAACCTTACTTTTTCTGCTTATTACACAATTCAGCGCGCGAAAATAAAAATGACGTGTTTGGTGAAAAAGTTGGTTGATAAGTCTCATAAACTGTTACACGTATCGTTTCTCTTGGAAGGCTTAATTGCCATTTTAAAAAATGCCTTCGGTTGTAATGGATATGGCATCACTTCAAAAGAGTCACTTTTTACATACTACCTTGGTCCCTTTTATATTGGGACGGAAGAGGGTGACACCAGTTTTAAGAAAAGTGTGTTTGTATGGTTGATATTAATTGATAAAGAATAAAGTAAGAACAATTTTGAGCCACACAAACTTTACCAAATAAGGTATGAGACAATTAAATAGGGACATCCCAATATGGTAAAACGGGACATTAAAATGGGGACGGAGGGAGTATAAATAAGCAAGGACCATGTCAAATTAGGGACATACGGCAAATTGATTTGTCAATCTTCTCCAACTTGTCATACTTTGTTTTATTATTTGCGCTAATAAAATAGAAGTACTTAGACTACTTAGACCACTGTTACTACTAATCTTGTTCTTTCAGGTCCTCCGCTCTGTCCACCGGAAGAGGAACCCGATGGCTTCACTCAAGTGAAAACAAGAAAACAACTATTTTATGAGGTGGGCTATACATCACACCCCATGGTCACGAGAAGTCAATCCAGATATCCTCAAGATGAAGATGATTATTACATTTACCCTGTTGATGCAAGGCTCGACTCTCCACACAAACTTGCTACGGCTCTCCAAAGATACAAGTCTTCTCACCCGAAAGCTATAATATATCAACCCTATCTCCGGAAGGCAATTCAGTTCCACAACAGGTTTAACAGATCCATTTCATCTACAATCGGACTACCTTCAAAGAACTTCAACTCTTAAATCCATGTTTTTTATATTTTATTTCAGCTTTTGAATGTTCGTTTTTCTTTCTCTTCTCTGTATCGTTTTATGCTATCTCTTGTAAACTCAACTTTTATTAATAAATTTGGGTAGTGTTCCCTGGCACTCCCACCACCACGTGTGGTTGTGTATGAAAAATGTGAAATGAATGTGAACCACACAAATTGTCCAAAAAAGGAAAGTGAGAAGAATTTTTTGGGACGGCCCAAAAAGGAAAGTGGGAAGAATTTTATGTGACGGAGGGAGTACTATTTGTATCCTCGAGTACTAACAATCTAAAATTTACTAATCCGAAAATATGGCTGCTACTCAACGTGATATCAACATCAATTTTCAAAAATTGGAAAAGTTTGAAGGTGTGGAGTTTCGAAGGTGGCTTTCCTTTTTTCTCTTTGTTTTTTTATATTTCACTTGTACTCCTTTTTCTATTTTCCTTAATAAAACTTCCTTTTTCTAAAAAAAATGGAGTTTCGAAGGTGGCAGAAAAGATGCATTTTATGCTCACTACTTTGAAAGTGGTTTATGAGTTAAGCACCCCGAGGCCGCCCGAGCATGATGAAAACGAGACTTTGGAAACAAGCTGTCGCCGCATAAAGTGGGACAATGATGACTACATTTGTCGTGGGCACATTTTGAACGGTATGTGTGATTCTCTATTTGATGTGTATCAAAATGTTGAATTTGCTAAAACGTTGTGGAGATATCTAGAATCCAAGTACATGACCGAGGATGCTTCTAGTAAGACATTTCTCATTAGTAACTTTAATAGTTACAAAATGGTGGATTCATATCCGGTCATGGACCAATTTCATGAGATTCAACGTTTAGATGATCAACTTTTGATTCACAACATGCATGTAAATGAAACCTTTGCGGTCGGTTCTATAATCGACAAATTACCACCATCATGGAAGGAAGTGAAAAATAGCCTCAAACGCAAAAAAGAGGATTTGCCAATGGAACAACTTGGTCGCCTACTTCAAATTGAAGAAGGCATTAAGTTGCGTGAAGGTGACAATGACAAAAAGAACGACCTTCCAATTTCCTCTATAAATGTTATGGAGGGACAGTCAAGTGGGACTAAGAAAAATAAAAGACATCCTAGGGAATTCATCAAAAGTTCCAAGTTTCAAAAGAAACCGAAAGATAAGAAAGTAGGCTCTTGTTGGGAATGTGGTGGTCCACACTTCAAGAGGGTCTGCCCGCAGCTGAAGAAGAAAAAGGCCCAACCGAACGGCCATCCAAACAGTGGCCAAGACCACCAAGGTCATAATCTTTTTGTAGGAGGTGGTTTGGGGATCAGAGGGGGTGTTGACGTGGCTGGGGGATGGGGAGTCAAGCCGGGGATATGGCGGTGCTGGCCCGATGATGGGTGGCAACGGCGGTAGGGTGGTGCAGTTTCACTGTGGTGATGAACGCGTGACTGTAATGGGCAGTGACAGGGATGTGCGGGTGGACAGGGACTTGTTTGAGGGGCGAGGGTGGGGCTACGGCGGACTAGCCGGGGCGGCGAGGGCAATCACTGGCTGGACGGCGACGGCGGCAGTCACTGACCGGCGATCGCAGTCATTGGACGGGGACATCGACGACTGTCACTAGACGGGGCAGCAGCGACAGTCACGGGACGGGGCGCGGCAGTCACTAGACTGAACGGCAGCGGCAGTCACTAGACTGAACGGCAGCGGCAGTCACTGAACGGGACGGCGGTGTCGGCAGTCACTAATCGTGTCAACGGTAGCACTCACCGGACAGGGTGATCACTATTTGAAAGTAACCAAAATTAAAAGTGACCAAAATTGAAAGTGACTAAAATTGAAATTCACTGCAGCTAATACATCCGGCTTGTAGCGTCAACTATATACGGGCAGGTGTATTAGAAAGTCATATTATTGGAAATTTGTCTTTGGGCTCACTTTTTTGTCCTTCCGTCTCTAATTAGTACTCCCTCCGTCTCGAAAAGGTTTGCCAACTTTGACTTTCACGTGGATTAATAAAGTAAAAATTGTGTGATTGAAATTTGTGCAGAGGAGAGAGAATTAACTTTAGTCACATACGGAGTATTCCTTACTTTAAATGGAAATGACAAATCTTTTTTAGACCTCCAAAAAAGGAAATTTGACAAACCTTTTCGGGACGGAGGGAGTAATATCCATGAAAAAAGGCCATTAGGTAATTTGACCCACTTGTTTATGAACTAGATGTATATTGAAAATGCAAACTATGTTTTACGAAATCTTGTCGTTTTACAAAATCTTCAGTTTTGTGAATTTCTTATCATTCGATTAGCTTAACCAAATTAGACATTTTAAAGTGTTGTGCATTCATCTCTTTGAGAGCTACAATTTTTTTGAAGGAACCGAATCCAAAAAATGAACCAATCAAATGACATGAACCAAAAACCAGACTGGTCTGCAGTTTTACTAAAATTTAAACTCCCTCAAAAGTCAAAACTTCACTTTTACGTCAAACTTATCTCAATCGATTACACACCTCAAAATGAGAGTTTACAAACACAATATAAATACAAACCCATAACTCACGGTACAAGTACAAAACCAAAATCACTAATACTACTACGTTCAACATAAGCTATCCAAAACATGTTTCACAATAACTAACCAAGAGTCTAAGATGCAAATTGGTCCACAAAAAGGGATTGTTTACCCTAGGCCTCGCTTTGCAATTACATAGATTGTTCAGTTTGTTGACTAGCCAGACCGCCTTCTTGACTTGGCTGACCAGGTTCTTCACTTTGAAGACCTCTCTGCCTTCTTCTATTGTTTGTAGGCCTGGCAATTTTTCTGGTGCTCTTCTTCTTAATCTTCTCTTTGTGGTCTGTTTTGGTGGGTTTTTGGGGGGGGATTTAGATTTGTTATGTTCTGCTACCTTGCAGATAGAATACATTATCACTCTACCTTTTCTTGTCATTGTTGTTCTACCTCATGATGTCCTCCGGTCCTTTTATAGAATTGGGGCTTCAATATCATTTTGTTGTGTCCTTTTCCAAAACAACTCCCTGTTCATGGGTTCAAGGTTAGGGAATAGATGCTCTAGTAAACGTCTTTTGAGTAGCACTCATCAACATAAGTTTATGGATCCACGCCCTTGTCAAATATAGCGCACACAACATAAGTTTCTGGATCCATGGCCTTGTCAAATATAGCACACACAGCATGTGGGCATGGGATTCCATACCCTGCAAGAACAAATTCTTTCTTCTAGCCGTACATGGTACTGGTGTCTTCCTTGTTTAACCTCATAAGTGTCATGACCATTAAAGACAACCTGCTTTGATAAAATTAGATGCACATGTAGTAGCAGATATCCAATACTGGAATGCTCACTTCTAAATATAGCAAATACCTTCCATCCCATGTTTTCATAAATGTTTGCATTTAGATTCTTCATAATTTGAGGTCCAATGTTACATGGCCACATTTCCAAACTTTACCTTCTTTGCAATTTGTTTCATTGTGGCAACTCTAATGGATTCTGAGATAGGAACAATAGACTTAGACCAAGATTTTACAAGTGTGTTATTAAAAGATTCAGAAAAGTTGTTGTCAAGAGCATCACACTTAGCATAAATTCTAAAGAAAACTTTGCACCACTAATGAAGTGATCATAAAGATCCACATCTGCTCGAGCTGTAGGATCAATTTTTTGCAAAACATTCATTTGTTGAAGAAAGTGAGGTTGTGTGGTGCATCTAGCACATATCCAGAAGTGTTTTTTCGTGATCTTTCCCTGATGTTTCTTACTCCAGTTGGCATGGATATGCCTGCAGCAATTTTTGTGCTCTAAATTCAGGAACAGTTCCTTGATCACATTTACTAAGCCCTACACACATGAGCATCATTCCATGAAAATTATTAACAAGAGCATCATTCTTAAGTATCAGCTTACATATCAATGAAATATTTACTACCGTTCTTACATCCTCTTAATAGCATTCTTCTTACCAGGACATGATCCGTACAAAAGCACTGGTGCAAGTATGACTTTGTAGTCACGGATCCGAGTCAGATAGGGCATGGATTCGGGTTGGGTACTAGCTGGGTGAAGCTTCTTTCCTCTTCGGCCATGATATCTGTTTTAATATAACCGCAAATGACAGAACTAATACGATGGGATATAGGTAAGAGTGCTGGTGTTGAAGGAGCTAACTTATTTCTATCTTACTGGATCATACTAAACCAAATTTGGCGCCCACATTTAAGCATAGCAAATATGGAGTATTAAATATTAGATTAGTGCAGGTAATAAGTGAATGTCCATCACTTAAACACCATCTATATCATCAAGCCCCAGATCATGAATATGTGTAACCCTAACCCACACGCTCATTTGTGTGTATAGGAACAAAATCAATGACAGGCACAAATCAAGAAATAATATATAAATCTATACATACATACATATACATATATATATATATATTTCTTAGGGACCAAATGTATTGATACATCAATCAATTCAAACTGCAGCAGAGTAGGAAAGTTGCAAAACGAAGTTGTGATTTTTTTATCATGAGCCTAAAAAAAAAAGTCAACCGGTTTCTTGGTCGAAGTCATCAGCTTCTGACTCTTCCCCATTGTCGGCATCATCATCTTCAGCTTCAAAATCTTCTTTATCGTTATCAACTATAGTGGTCTTCCCAATCACAGTTAAGTTGCTGTTGAACTTCCCAATCTCATTAATCTTTTCCTCGAAATCTGACTCCTCCATGGCTAAGAGGAGCTCTTCATGATGGGGCTTTGGCCACTGGGCAGGAAGGAGATACGACGTCGGGATGATCTCCGTAGACCCTGGGTTCTGTCGCATGAAAGCAGGATAAGGCAACATCTTTTCTCCCTTTCTAGGTTTTGCGACTGTCGTTTTGGGATTTTTCGTTGCAAAATTCTTAGGTTGCAAATATACACGATTATACGGGCAATTCTCAGTTTGAGCTAAAAATGTAAAATCACCTAGTTATCTCAATCAAAAAAACTATTTGTACCCACTTCTATACCTATCATGTTTGTGAGGAGTTTTTTTTTGTCTTTGAATTTCGGTCATAGACAAAAATATGTCTATGAAAATATGATGAGTACAAAAATATCTCAATACACGGCTACAAATTTGTGTATACGTTTTGCATAGGCCAAGAATGAACCTTTTTTATTTGGAGATCGGAGATGTCAAGTCAGTTATGGATGCTTTTGTTTGGGCAGTTGTTTTTTCTTTCCGGATGTGACGACACTAATTTTTCTTTTTTTTTTGTGGATCTTTTTTTAAAGAGATCATACGAGATCAGGCTTTGATGTTTTTAAAATTTTAATGTACACAAAGAACGTGCATTTATTATATCAGGTCAAATCAATCCAGACCAGAATGAACCATGCTTAAACAAATAAGGTTAGACTTGAATATTTATTTCAATTAAAACATCCTTAAAGTAAAAATAGAAAGGGTAAATACAAAAATGTTAATAGAAAAAAGGTGATTTGGAGAAAAAATCATTTATCTCTTGGAGTAGTGAATATTGAGTCATCCATCATGGGTAATTCCAGCTCCACTAAAAATACTCCAATTTGAAATTACTAAATTGGAGTAAATTTTCAGAACTAATCAAAAATTTAAAACGAAAAAAAATACTATGTACCTTTTAACTCTTCAATCCAAAAAAATACTTGAATGAATTGAATCTATTGAAAAAATATAGTTTCATCCCCTAAAGGCTTAGGAATATTTCTTTTTTCAATTATTTCATATAATGATACCATGGAAGAGGTACTGAGGATAATATAATCCTTGCACAAGAGATGATGCATACAATCCATACTCATAGAAGGGGCGAGGGATTGGTTGCTTTAAGATCGATCTAGAAAAGGCTTATAATAGACTAAGTTGGGATTTCCTGCGCTCTACTCTATTTGAATTTGGCTTTTCCCCCTCTGTTGTGACCTTGATCATGTGGGGAGTTCAAGATGCTAGCATATCTATCCTTTGGAATGGCTCTAAACTCCTATCCCTCACTCCTCAAAGAGGACTTTGTCAAGGCGATCCCCTATCACCTTACCTCTTTGTGCTTTGTATGGAGCGTCTAGCAATCGAAATTCAAAGCAAAGTTGATGAGGGGTTCTTGGCAGCCACTGAGAATCACAAAAAACGGCATTGGCATTTCGCATTTATTTTTTGCAGATGATGTTCTATTGTTTTGCCAAGCCAACAAAACACAAATCCGCTTAATACATGAAACCTTGGTTACTTTCTGCACAGTGTCAGGCATGAAAGTTAATTTAGAGAAATCAAGGATATGCTTCTCTCATAATATTTATCATCATACTCAGCAGGTGCTTTCTGATGTCATGGACATTAGCAGGGCTAGCAATTTCGGTAACTAACTGGGCTTACCCCTCCTAAAAGGTAGAGTTACAGGGGAAAGATTTGCTCCTATAATCGACAAAGTTAATACTAGATTGGCTTCTTGGAAACACAAGCTTCTCAATAGAGCGGGTAGGTTGTGTTTAGCTAAGTCTGTCCTTTCATCACTTCCACTCTATGCTATGCAGTCTCTTTGGCTTCCTGAATCTATTTGTGACTATATATAGATAAGAGGATTCGAAGTTGCATTTGGGCTAAAGGTGGGAACTCTCGAGGCTGGAATCTAGTCTCATGGAAGGTGTGAGCTGCCCTAAAGCGGATGGTGGGTTGGGTGTGCGCAGCTCACGCCTTAATAATGTCACCTTGTTTGGTAAGTGGTGGATAATCTTCTTCATAGAAATGGGAAAATGTGGGTCAAAGTTTTGTCGGAGAGGTATTTGTGGATTTATTTCCTGATTTAGAGAATATTTATTGTTGTACTTTAGATCTGATTTGGTATTAATACCAGATCTTCTGTATTTTATTCTTTCTAGAAATAGGATATTCTATTGTCTAAATTAGCAGATTGTATAGTTAATGTCTTAGATTCTCTCCCCAATAGGTTGTATAAATATCCTGCCATTCTGAGATAATGAGAACATCACAAATATTCGGAATTTCACATGGAATTTCTCTCCCCAATGTAATACATAAATAATCATCTATGTATCTACACAATTCACACATGAGTAAAATGCCTATTTCACACAATAGTTCATTTAACTCCATTTTTATCAATACTTTACCAAATCATTTCCCATTTCATTCTTTGGAAAATCGATCAATATTCCATCAATAAGTTATCATCATAATCCATGGAAAACATTATTTAGGCATTTAGGTAATCTTATGCTTAACCTACAAGTTGTAAGCAACTAGATGTCGATCCTCACCTCAAATGAGCTTTAAAACTTTCCTTCTCAATCCAATGACCAAAGCCTCGTCCAAAGAAGCTTGAGAACTGATTCCTTGATTAGAAATGAGTGTAAAACAGCCCCCTCAAAGTGCTAGCTCAACCCCTAATCGTTGATACGAAAACAACCCCTAGAATGGGTGTTTTCCGGTTAACTCGTTTCCTAGTTTTCCAAGATTTGCTCTAGGTTAGTATCTAACCTTTACATCAATAAAATAACTTTATGGGGACATATTATACACTTTGATTAGTGTACAATAGTTCCACCAATCGTTCATATCATTTGGAAAATGAATGGAAAGGTTTTGGGGTTAACAACTCACTTTAGAAGAGTAGATCCGTTTCTGGGAGGTTGCGTTTTGCTCGGACGATTTGGAAGCCTTCCACTACTCCGATTGATGCAAACCAGACCTTCACGGATTCCTCGTCTTGAGAGATTTCTTTTGGTATCTTGAATGCCTTATTTGGATTGGTATAACTCGAGATATCAACCAAACAACTTCAGCACTCTCACTGCTCGAGTTTACAGACAGCAGTTCACTCCAGCTCGATTTGTGTATGATACTCTCTCCTCTCGAACAGAGACCACTCAAATATGAAACTACACTTCAAGGGATATCCAAGGACACCTCATACACGTTATTTGGTTGAGTATAGCTCCTATAATGAGAGGAGACAAACAGCACACCAATTTGTGCGAAAATAAGGATGGTGGCCCCAAAATTTGATTCCAATTGTGTCATGTGCAGTTCTTCTCCATGTGGTGCGGCCAAGGTGAGTCTTCTCACATATTTTCTTTGTCTTGCAGGTACTCAAGCCACATGGAATGCTCCCCAATTGATCTCAATCAATTTGAGGTCCAAAATGTCTACCAATACTTTCAAAAATGGGAAGATGGGTCCTATTGTTTTATCTTTGTCAAAGATGTCTTTTTGTACTCATCCTAATTTATTTAGAACAAGTCAACTTATTACATCACATTATTGATCTCCAATATGTATAGGCTCATCACAATAATTTACTTGATGGGTATCATAGAAGGAAAATCCTACTCCCATTATTTAGCCCAATAATGTCAAAAATGGGCTATAGGCATTTGTATTCCTCTCTAATCATTCTATCACTTATTTTGACATTTGTCATACATATTATTGACTACTATCCGTGTGGGTCACTCCCGATTGGGTCTAGGATGCCATTCTCGAATACTTGCTATTTTTAGCAGGTTGGGCTCAAAATAACGTTTGGGCCGTCCGACCTTACTCGGATTGTCTTGAAAGATTATGTATCACTGTTTTGATAATGTTGGGCTCTTTTATTTATTAATAAGACCCAAATAGTATTTGCATGCCCGACACTAATATACAAGTTCGAACAGTACAATAATCGATCATTAATTACGTAAAACATTAATCGTTTTACAATTGTTTGGGAATCAGAAATCCAATACATAAACTTTGAATTTTTAAATCAAATTTTCAAGGACGTTCGGGTGCGGTGTCACAAAAAAAATTCTCAAATATTTGTGTATTTCAGGATTTGGACTTGGGGAAGAGGATTGGCAGTGCTAAGATGTGTTTCGGACTGTATGTTCTACATGATGAAGTCTCATCCACTAGCATAAACCAGAAGTTCAGTTTACTTTCTTTGAATAGTCAGTCGGTTTCTTTGTCTAATAAAGATAGTGATATCATGTTATGGCACTATCGTCTTGGTCATCCAAATTTTGTGTATTTGTCAAAACTATTTCCTTCTTTATTTTTGAATAAAAATCCAAGTTCTTTTTGCTGTGAGACTTGTCAGTTTGCTAAACACACTCGGACTAATTATTCTAGATTAACATATAAACCATCCAAACCATTTTCAATGATTCATAGTGATGTGTGGGGACCTTCACGCATAAACACTATAACAGGAAAGAGATGGTTTGTATCTTTTATAAACGATCATACAAGATTAACTTGGGTTTTTCTTATGCAAAATAAGTCAGAAGTGAGTGAAATTTTTCAGCGCTTCCATTCTATGATTCAATCTCAGTTTCACACTACGATTCAAGTATTTGGTAGAACATGGAATCATCCATTTAAGTTCTTGTGCTGACACCCCTCAACAAAACGAAATCGTTGAATGAAAAAATCGACATCTTCTTGAAGTTGCTCGATCTCTCAGGTTTGGGACTCATGTTCCTAAAGTTTTTTGGAGGGATGCAGTTCTCACTGCTGCCTATCTCATTAATCGGATGCCATCTAAAGTGCTGAAATTTCCAACTCCATGTCAAACTCGTCTGGAAATATTCCCTCATACAAGGTTCATTAGCTTTGTTGATCCTAAGGTCTTTGGTTGCAGCACCGTTTTTGTCCATATTCATTCACAACATCGTAGTAAGTTAGATCCCAAATCTATCAAATGCATCTTCATAGGTTATTCATCTAATCAAAAGAGTTATAAGTGTTACTGCCCTACTACACGAAAAACTTATCTCTATGTATGTCACCTTTTTTGAATCGCAAGCTTACTACAAATCTGAGTTTCAGGGTGAGAATGCAAGGGAATCTCACCTTTGGGGAGTAACTGTTCCAAACAGTCATACTCCTATAAAGGAAATCTCATCTATTGCACCTTCTCTTGAACTCACCAGTCCACAACCTATGAACTCAGTCCAAGAACGACAAGATGTCATAGAAAACCAAGTTCCATTTAATCCATCTAGTTCATCTCAAGTCACTGAAAACACGTCTGGGCCGTCACCAATCGTTAATTCTCATCCTGGACCTAAAGAACTTCGTGTTTATCAAAGAAGGAAGAACCCTGAGAAAGAACGGACACATCTACAGGACTGCCATGAATTGGAACTGGATTCACATCCTCCAAAAATGCATTCAGATATGAGTAATCCTTTTCATGATAGTGTTACTGATATAGATGACAATCTGCCTATTGTTTTGAGAAAGGGAGTCCGTGTTTGCACTAAACATCCCATTGGCAATTTTGTATCCTATGAAACATTATCTTCGTCCTATCAAGCATTTTTTCAGCTCTTGATAGTGTACAGATTCCTCACACAATTCAAGAAGCATTGATTGATCCGAGTTGGAAAAAGGTTGTACAAGATGAAATCAATGCTTTGGTGAAGAATGGAACTTGGCACATAACAGATTTACCTTCTGGAAAGAGACCAGTGGGATGCAAGTGGGTATTCACTATTAAACATAAGGCAGATGGTAGCATTGAGAGGTTTAAAGCTCGCCTTGTTGCTAAGGGGTTCACTCAGTCTTACGAGATTGATTATCAAGAGACTTTTGCTCTAGTTTCTAAACTTAATATCATTCGTGTTCTACTTTCCATTGCTGCAAATAGAGACTGACGATTGCACCAACTAGATGTAAAGAATGCTTCCTTGATTGGTGACCTAGAAGATGAGGTGTACATGGATATTCCACCGGGCTTTGAGTGTTCATCAAACAAAAATAAAGTATGCAGACTAAAGAAATCTCTATATGGCCTTAAGCAATCTCCACGAGCATGGTTTGGAAAGTTTACTAAATCACTCATTAAAATGGCTATCCTAATAATTTATGTTGATGATATAATACTTACAGGAGATTTCAAGGAAGAGCTGGAAAACTTGAAAAAAAATTATCAAAGGAATTTGAGATTAAAGATCTCGGTTATCTTGGATATTTCCTAGGCATGGAAATTGCACGATCAAGGCGTGGTATTTTTGTTTCTCAAAGAAAGTATGTTCTAGACTTACTCAAGGAAACATGAATGCTTGGATGTAAACCACCCTCCACTCCAATGGATTCTAACAGAAAGAATAGCTCAGAGACAGGTAGAGCACCTGTGGACAGGGGGAGATATCAAAGGCTAGTTGGACGGCTTATTTATTTATCCCATACTAGACCTGATATTGGTTTCCCTGTAAGTGTGGTGAGCCAATACATGAATAATCCAACTGAGGAACACATGGAAGCTGTTACAAGAATCCTTAATACCTCAAAATGACTCCAGGAAAAGGTCTTCTTTTTAGGAAGAATGACAATAAAGAAATTAGAGTCTACACAGACGCAGATTGGGCAGGAGATGTAACTGATAGAAGGAGTACTTCTGGTTACTATTCTTATGTTTGGGGAAATTTAGTAACATGGAGCAGTAAGAAACAGTCAGTTGTTTCTAGAAGTTCAACTGAAGCAGAATTCAGAACGCTGGCTCTTGGCATATGTGAAGGGATGTGGCTGAAAAGATTACTTGGCGAGCTAAGGGTATTTAAAGAAGGGTCTATACAAATGCTTTATGACAATCAGACTGCTTTTAGCATTGCCAAAAATCCAGTTCATCACGACAAGACTAAGCATATTGACATAGACAAATGCTTCATTACTAAGAAGATAGAGAACCCCATCATTCAGGCATGTTATATTCCATCAAAATTTCAAACTGCTGACATTCTTATGAAAGCTCTACCAAGAACCGTTTTTGAAGAATTAATTAGCAAGCTTGGGATGTTTGACATTCACAACCCAGCTTGAGAGGGAGTGTGGATTTATCTCCTGATTTAGAGAATATTTACTGTTGTACTTCAGATCTGATTTGGTAATAATACCAGATCTCCTGTATTTTATTCTTTCTAGAAATAGGATATTCTATTGTCTAAATTAGCAGATTGTATAGTTAATGTCTTAGATTATCTCCCCTAATAGGTTGTATAAATATCCCGCCATTCTGAGGTAATGAGAACATCACAAATATTCAGAATTTCACAGTATTTTCATAATAAGAATCTCGTTCTAGCATTTCAATACAAGCAAGGGGACTCCTACATATAGAAGAGCATAATTAGAGCCAAGAATAACATTGCACATGGTTTTGGGGAGTTTTTGGGCAGTGGGGGATCATCCTTTTGGTATGATAATTGGCTGTGCACTGGAAACATCAGACACTTCACTCAAGATATCAGACTTATGGCAACAAGGAGTTTGGTGTTTTAACAGACTATCTACTTTCCCATCATCACATATTTCAGCCGAAATTTGTCAAATTCAGGTTCCCTTCACTAATTATATCGGTGATGATGTTGTCCAATGGAGAGAGACAAACAACGGGTCATATTCTACTAAGTCAGCCTATGCAATGCTAGTAGGGAATAACACGTCATCGGATCACCACACTATCTAGAAACACATTTGGAAGAGCCGAGTGCCTGACAAGATCAGATTCTTCCTTTGGCTTATTGCAAAGGAGGCTTTTTTTACAAGAAGTAAAAGATGACACAACCATTTATGCTCGACAGCGGCTTGTCCTAGATGTGGATCATGTACTTCGGGCTTGCCCGGATTCTCAACACCTTTGGCTCCACTTTGAACCCATTCTCCATTCTCTTTCGTTGCACCAGTCTTTCCATCTTTGGTTTAGAAACATTATCTCACAGAGGGAGCACGTCCTTGCGGTGTCTGTATTGTGGTGGGTTTGGCGTTGGAGAAATGATAGTATCTTTAGTGACAAACCTTGGCATATGAGCTATGTTCTGAGGCAGATTTTAGTGGATGTGAACTCTTGGCAGCGTTGGTTGAAGATCTCCCCTCATCCATGTTCACAATCAGTCCGGATTCAACAACATTGATCATGCGCCGTCAACATTTATGTAGATGGAAACTGAAATTGAGGAGTTGCGAGGATGGGGTGTGGTGCAGTCATAAAGGATGCTTCAAATAATTGGATTTCCGGAGTATTTGTGAGCCATGGTGTTGGTTCGGCCTTTATGGCGGAGCTGCTAGCTGTTCAACTTGGCTTGCAACATGGATGGGATCTTGGCTATCGCGATATTGTTTGTTTCTCTGGTTGCAATAATGTTGTGGAAATTCTTCAAAATGATGTTGTTGTAGGATATTTCTGGGCAAGAGATGTTATTTGCAGGGTGCGATGTATGATCAAATGGGACTGGCGCGTTTCAATTGTTCATATCTCGCGGGATAAAAATAATGCTGCAGACATGTTGGCTTGCCAAGCTTCTAGAGATAATACTTCACAATGTGATTGGGTTCAACCTCCTTCGAATTTAATCGTGTCCCTTCTTCGGGATGCAATTGTCTAGTTAAATCAAAAGTGAAATTTGGGTTAAAATCAAAAGTGAAATTTGGGTTAAAATCAAAAGTGAAATTTGGGTTAAAATCAAAAGTGAAATTTGGAGTGAAATAAAAGTGAAAACTAAGAGTCAAATCAAAGGTAAAAATGATATGGAAAATGATGTTGAAAGTGATGATGATGATAATGAAAAAAGTGAAAGTAGGACGAAAGAAAGGGTGAAATTGAGATTCACCTACAATTGTTCATGGAAAGTATTTAGTTTTTCAATTTATGGAGGATGTTAATTTCAACAAAAAACTTTTCAAAATTTCCCATTTCTAGTGTCTTTTGCTCATATTTGGGAGTGCCAACGGATTTTAGTTTATCTGTAACAAAAGTACATTATGCCATGAACTTCATAAATTGACCAAATGGTGATAGTTATTTGGAACATTTGTTTTGAAAGTTTTCTAATCTATTATAGTATGTGTTTTATGTTAAAGCTCGCGTCTTTAAAGCTCCCACGTTGACCAGCGTATTTCTCGTTTGGCCGGGAGGATGATGGGCTTCCCTATTCAGTCAAGGTTGTCATGCTTTCACTAAGACACCAATGTATACATATTTTTGTTTGGATTGGAGCACACTTTGGAGTGAAAATCTCAAATTTAAAGTAGGACTGCCTAATGAAACAAAAATGGAGTGTAAGACGATGAATGGAATGAGATTAGTGTTGTCATTTTATAATTAAATATTACTTTCGTTCAATATTGATTTGCAAAATTGACTTTCTTTGTCAAACCGTTCCATTTTGTTCACTTAATTAGGATGTCAATTTTTTATTATATTCTAATTTGAAGTTTACAACTTTGAAGAGATTTTAATGTAATTTTTGAATATGTATGTTTTATTTATTAAAAAGTAAATTAATTATCAATAAAGATGATTTAACTTTAACATTGATCGATAAAAAAAAATATTGAATTGGCAAATCAATTTGAGACGAAGAAAATATTAATAAAAGATAATTTAAACTTTAACGTGGGATTTTTAGAAAAGAAATGTGAGAACTGAATTAACCTCGGTACTAGGCAGTAATAGATGCAAAAAGCGGTAAACCACGATTACTTGTTTTGTGTTGAAGAAACATACTATAATGCAAATTTCAAAATTCACTGATTCCTGGCTTGCAAGGTGTAACGGTTCTCTTCCAATTTCTTGGCCTTTCCTCTTGCCAAATCCTGGGAGAGCAAAATGCAGACCAAATTTCTCTTCGATTTACAGGGTTTGAGTCCAGATCCAAATTTCTTCTGCAAATCAAGCCAAATACCACGACAATCCTCCATTTCACACAACATATGCTCGGTATCCAGCCTTTCACACACCCTGCGTTGTCGCACCGCTAAGTTATCATCCCAGATCAATGTCCGCAGGCGAATCGCATCTGTATTGAAGAGGAAAAAGAAATCCGGATCTTCGCGGTCGACTAAGATCTTGTTGCAGTCGGCTTACTTGGTAGCTTCCAATCTCAAGATCTTCCCAGAGCCGTTTGATTCGCTGATACGAGAATTTATCGGTGGAAATGGGGGTGGAGGCGTTTTCCTTAAGGGCTATGGAGGGGAAGGTTCCGGCGGGAGAAGGAGCGGGAAAAGAAACTGGATTGTTATTGTTATGGGAATCATTGTCATTGTAGGTCTCGCCTTGTCACTGGCATTGTGGAAAGAGCTCGATTTAGATATGGTGATTGTTGGTTTGGGGCTGTGCCTATTTTTGCTGTCAGTCAATGTGTGGAGAAGAAAAGTTCTGGATTGGGTTTTGGGGTTCTGCTGCTGTGCATTTGGAGGTTTTGTCTTCAATGAAGATTTGCAGAGAGGGGTTAAGTTTCTGGAGGCCATGAAGATTGCCAAGAGAAGGAAAAGAAGATGCTCTTGAGAAGAAAGGGAGTGTTCTATAGGTAAGAAAATGTTCTATTTTCATTCACTAAGAGGAATTCTCACTTATGTGCTTAAAGTGTTTGCTGATTTGCGGCTGTGAGATACTGAGATGTGCCTACCGAGTATATATGTCAATGCAGCTCCATTTTTTTCATATAGATATTAATTGTATAATGCCATTGAGCCATTGAGGACTTTGTTTTTTTCTATTATTGAGAATGCAGATTTTTTTTCCTGATATAGTAGTAGGAGCCTATCACGAATGAATGAATGATATTATATTGGGAGTTTTATTTAATTTGTACTTCATCTAAGAAAAACACCCGGTAAAATTGCCCTGTAATGGAGCATATATGCTCCAAGTGAGAGAAAGACGGAATGAGTTTTTGAAGCTGCGGGAGACGTGAAATCAGGTTGGGTCGGCCAGGGATATTCTAGGAATGCGGAAGTCTTCTTTCCATGGGCTGAATGAAATGCTTCTGTTGTTAGTGTTTGATTTCAGTCATATAATTTTCAAGCACATATAAGCCTTTCTGCCAAACGAGTTTAATGATATTGTGATTAGCTGAATTTGGAAAATTTCCGCTGATTATCAGCTGAAAAAGTCTGCCGAACATAGCCAATATCAGTACTCACTTGAGGACTTGTCTCGCCACACTTAAATTAACACTTTATTTGCACAGCTGATGCATAGTATACTTATTTAAAAGAAAATTTTCTAAAACCTCAACTATGGAGTTTGATTTGCATGCCTTTAATAATATCACGAAAATGTGTGTTTTATGTCTCTAATAATTTCCAATTGGTGATAAGTGGAAGTTTTGGTGTATATGTACCAAGGTGGACACAGCCCGTCCATCCCAGATCGGCCAATCTTGGGGAGGGGAATTAGGTAAACTGGGGCCTTCTCCCAACTAGGGGTGGGTTCGGTTAAAACGGTTCGGTTTTCACCTAAAACCAAATGTCGAACCAAAGTAAAAAGTTCGGTTCAATTCGGTTCGGTTTTATGTTAAAAAATTTGGAACCACGGTTTGTTCGGTTCAGTTTATTTCGGTTCGATTTTGGTTTTTTCGGTTTTTACCAAAATATTTTTGTTGATTAGAAATAGTACTACGTAGTTGGAAAACAAAAACAAACTAAAAACTATATCAAACTAGCAATAATAGTTATACAATACAAAAACATACATAATTAAACCAAATGAGAAGAAACAAATGCACCTCCAAGCAACGAATTAGAGAGTACGTGTATACTAATTTTTCTAGATTAATTAAATGCGTGAGTTTATTTATGAATTATTATATACAGTGTATTCGCAAGTTAAGTTAAAACTTATTAGTGAATAACTTATTCTACTTTCTTTTTAGGCAAAGATATTTAAGCTCTAAAGTTTCACGTTTTCTGCTATGTTAATTAAAGTATGGTTTATATTAATACATATTTGTTCAATATAAAAAACTATTTGATAACAAACATATATACATAACATATAATATATCAAAAAAAATCATTGTAATGCAACAACAAGCAAAATGTAAATTACGATTTAAAATATCAACAAATTAGTATTATAGCAATACACTTAAGTGTATGTACAAGTGTTTCACTTAATTAAACCATAAATATTAAATGTCAATATCTTGCAAATCATAATAAATCTAGTATCAAACATTAATTTTCTAGAATTAAGAACTAAACAAAATATTATACTTAATGATTAATAAATAAAATAATTAGTTTTAAAAAGGTCGGTTTATTCGGTTCGGTTCGGTTTTGAGATGTGAAAACCAAAACCGAAATCAAACAACTACGGTTCGGTTCGGTTTTTTGAGTTCAGTTTCGGTTTTCTTGCAGTTCGGTTGTTTTGGTTGCGGTTCGGGTTTTTTCGATTCGGTTTTTACTTTTCGGTTTCTCCGACCCACCCCTACTCCCAACCCTTTTCAGTTTTAAGGCAATCTTGCTTACAATGGTTGAAATGCAAAACAGAAAGAGTAAAATGCATAACTAGTCCCTAAACTATCAGCATCATATCATTTTGGTCCTTGAACTAACAAATCTATCATTTTAGTCCCTAATCTATGTAATTCATATTAATTCGGACCTTATGTCCATATTTTGACGTTAAACTAACGGAATGTGCTTAGTTAGTGCATGTAAATCAACATACTTATGAGACAAAACATAACTTATAAAATTCTGATTTAATATCTAAATAAATTAGAATGAAAACTACTATCAAATCATAATACAACGCGTTGTATAAAGTTATAACATAATATAATACCTTCGTTCTCTTTTAAATGCAACATTGGACTTATTGCATTATTCACATGTTCTACTTTGACTCTATTTTATTTAATACGGAGTAATGTATTATAAATTAAATTTAAAAAATGTTAAATTCCTCTCATTTTAAATTTTCCAATTTTTCTTTAATTTTTTGTTAAGAAGGAATTAAAGATATTAATGGTCAAAGTTGTGTGTTGGCAAACGTGAAACTTGTGTGTTGACAAATTTTGAGAACTATACAAATATTAGGAAAAAAAAAAAATAGATTTTGAAATTTGAAAATGAGAGGAATTTAACACTTTTTTTTAATTTATTTTATAATACATTACTCTGTATTAAATAAAATAGAATCAAAGTAGAACATATGAATAGTGCAAAAAGTCCAATGTTGCATTTAAAAGAGAGCGGATATAGTATATTACGATAGTATGTCTTAACGCGTTATATTATGATTTGATAGTAGTTTTCATTCTAATTTAATTTATTTAGATATTAAATCAGATTTTTATAAGTTATATTTTGTCTTATAAGCATTTTGATTTACACATACATGCACTAACTAAGTACATTCCGTTAGTTTAATGTCAAAATATAGATAGAAGGACCGAACTAATTTGAATTACATAGATTAGGGACTGAAATGATAGATTTGTTAGTTTGAAGACCAAAATAATATGGGATTGATAGTTTAGGGACTAGTTATGCATTTTACTCAAACAGAAAAGAAAAAAATGAATCGGGACTAAACCGGCAGTAGGGGTGGACCGGGTGGAGGCGTTTTCCTTAAGGGTTTGCATTCTCAATAATAGAAAAAAACAAAGTCCTTTGATTCGCATTCTCAAATCTCAATAATAGAAAAAAACAAATCTCCAAGCTCCAAGTAAAACCCCTTATTAAAGATAACAATAAATTAATAATAATGCGGAGGTGATGCAATAAAGTTGACTCTCAACAATGCCCTTTAAATTGATAATAATAACAAAGGTTTACATATTTGAAGACTACATAAAACTCTATTTAAGCATAAAAACCAAAATTCGAATACGATAAAATTTGATACACGATCTCAAAACAGGATGCGGACGATGCGCTACATAAGATGGCTCACTGAGATAATTTGTTTTCACCAACAGAAAAGAATTACACGGGCGGCGCAAATAGTAACATTTCGTAAATCTTACCTTAGGGAATAACTAGTGGGTATAAATGATATGGGTGGTATAATAAAAAACATTAATTAGGTGCCTTTGTGTGGGTATAAAACTATAAATGAGAGATCAGAGTATAAAACTGTAGTATCGAATTAAATGAAAAGCCATACTCGCAAGAGGAGAAGTATAAAACTAATGAGTAATGATATGGTTGGGTGTGTGCCCACTGCAGTATAACAATCTACGTTGAAGTTGAAGGATCGGCAGCTGTAGCCATATCAAGCAAAAATGAAGAGCCATGTTCGCACGTTGCCACGCTAAGGTTTCAGAAACCGGTTCCCACCCGAGATGAATGACTGGAGGGATCAAAGAATCGAAGGTGTTAGAAATCAGGGAGTATTCCTTTGATGTCTTTGACGCACTCATAGAAATGTGAAATGTTGATCTTTTCTTTGCCGGAGTAGATCGCTTCGGCTCCCCCGCCCTGCTCACCCTGAGCAGCCATTTCTATGACCATGTAGAGTTTCTTGATTGGCAACTGACAAAAAATATGCAATTCGTGAGTTGGCACTAATGAAGTAAATGTGAACAATCAACACTCATCCTGGAGATACATGAATAGATAAAACTCATAAGAGAGAGACCGTGCTTACATTATCTAACCACTCTGCAGCAGCATCAATATCGTTCTCCGAAAACACATCAAGTTTCTCTAACACCTGCAAGTAAAAACATCAAAAGTGATTTAACCCTGCTAGAGCTACTGGTTGGGAGGAGGATGAATCCAGTGCAGTTCAAATAACTGGAGAGGAAACAAAAGAATTCTACCTTCTTAGCATCCGCCTTTGTCAATGTTGGAACAGTGTGTACGACTGAGAAGACATCAGCAAAGCCAATCGACTCCAAAAAATCAAACTGGCTGGTAGTTCCAATAACCAGCACTTTTTTTCCCTGTGCCATTTACAACAGTATTCAAGAATCTTATCACACTCCCATACAAATGTGAATACTGTACCATCCATACTGACAAAATGACAAAATCAACAACAATAACAATTTTTTAAAAGGTGAGTGGATAACTAAGACCAGGAAAGAGGGGCATGAAGTGTTAATTAATACTCCCTCCATATCATTATAATTGTCAAGTCTTTTCATGTAGGTTAAGATAATGTTTATTGTGCACTTCACAAAAAGGAGATTTTTGGTACTGTAGCAATATTGTATACTTTATTAAAGTGAAGATTTATTTCCAAAAATGGAAAGGTGACAGTTAATTTGATACAGCCCGAAAAGGAATACGAGACGGTTAAAGTGATGCAGAGGGAGTATAAGCAAATGTCAAATGCATGATTGCACTCATAGGTAACATGTGTTGAGTTTTTAGCATACCCAACTATCCGGCTCCCTAACAATCAACGCCAAACCTCACATTATACAACCACATATACTACCAGATACTGTTTAAAAAGGAGTAACTAAACTAATTACCAATCATGCCTTGCACCCAACAAGGACAGGATATGAGAGTGCAATATGACAGAAATAGCAAAACTAATTGCTATAAGTTCTTGAGGAAGGAAGAGCTTCCATTTCATCAACCACTCTTCCATATAAGAGTGGAATATGACAGAAACGAAGGTGACATGAGATGTGGACGTATAATGGAAAAGGGTGACTCAGGTCTCCTGCCTTTTCTAGGGTCTTGGATCATTCCAAGAGATGTGGACGTATAGACATGGAATGTCCACCTCAATACCGGTATCAAGCCCGGATATGGAGCATAGCCACCGGCTATGATGCAACGATACTTCACCCTGATGCCATTTTCGCGTATCCGAAACGTATTCGATACCGATACTCACCGATACA